GGATACCCTGCCCTTGATGGGCCAGTCTGACCCACTCGAGGAAGCTAAGCATGGTCAACCCTATTTAGTTCTTGGGAGATCACCAAGGAAGTCTGCAGTCTCTATGGAGATGCAGGCAATGGCAAAACACCTCTGACCATCTCTTGCCATTCTGAAATGGAATAAAATTGGTCACATAAGACATGGGGGAAAATACACAGAGACATGGAGAGAGAAGAAATAACAGCAGCTCATGGGTGGGGGGGAGAGAGCCCAAAATGAAAAAGCATGACACCTGAGCCGGGGTGGTGGTGGAAGAGACGGGGAGGAATCGGCGGGATGAGGGGGAAGCTTACCTGCTGTTGCTGCTTCCTCCTCCGCCTGCTCTGCGTGCAGCTGCCCCCCCGCGAGTATCGCGGGTCCCGCCTCTTGTCTATATACTAACAGCCAAGAGGCCCCCTCTGTGCAGATATCTAAATCCACACATTGGGGGCACTTAGGGGGCAGAGAGATTTTCCTTCACACTTGGGGCAGTCCCCAGGTGTGCAGAAAAATCTGAAAAGTTTAAAAAACTATACAGGGGATACTTAAATCCCCCCAAAAGTGAAGAAGTGTTCCCTGCGAATGTGCAGAGAACGCCCTGGAAACTGTTTTGCTGCCACCAGGGAGGGGGGTGCGGGAGAAGGATTGGTGGCCGGTGGCTGTGGGCCACTCAGGCCTCACCGCTGGGGAGGGGGGTGAGGGAGAAAGCTTGGTGGGCTGGCGGCTGTGAGCCACTCAGACCTCACCGTCAGTGCCGGGGGAGGAGGGCAAAGGCTTGGCGGGCCTGGTGGGCCCTCCTGCTGAGCTCACCTGCTGCCGATTCCTCCTGCTGCAGGGCTCCTCCTGCTTCTGCAGGCCAGGAGCTGTGGGGAATACTCCTCCCCTCCGTATCGTGGGTCCCACTTCTTGTCTATATAGCTAATAGCCAAGTTGCCCCCTCCGTGCAGATATCTAAATCCGCACATCGGGGGCACTTGAGGGGTAGAGAGATTTCCCTGCATTACTTGGAGCAGTCTCCAGGTGTGCAGAAAAATCTAAAAAGTTGAAAAATATATGGGGGATATTTAAATCCTCCCAAAAGTACAAGAGCATTCCCTGCGCGTGGGCAGAGATCACCCTGGCAACTGTCTCACTGCCGCTGTGGGGGAGGGGGAGAAGCCTTGGCGGGCTGGTGTCTGTGAGTCACTCATGCCTCACTGCTGCCAGTGCAAGGGGGAGGAGGGAGAAGGCTTGGCGGACCTCTGGGCTTCTCTCTGCCGCCACTGGGGAAGGGGGCAGGAGAAAGCTTGGCGGGCTTCTTGCCGCCGCCAGGGAGGGGGATGGGAGAAGGATTAGTAGGCTTGAGGGCTCTTTGCCGCTGCCGGGGAGGGGGGCAGGAGAAAGCTTGGCAGGCTTCAGGGACTCCTCGCCACCGCCAGGGAGGGGGCAGGAGAAGGCTTGGCGGGCCTCAGGCCTCACCACCGCTGCCGGGGGGGAGGAGGGAGAAGGCTTGGTGAGCCTCATGGGTCCGCCTGCTGGGCTCACCTGCTGCCGCTTCCTTCTCCTGCAGATGTCCTGCTTCTGGAGGCTGGGAACTGTGGGGAATACTCCCCCCCGTGAGTACCGTGAGTCCCCCTTCTTTCATATATCTAATTTCATACTGGGCCATAGAGTGTGAATCAACATATCTGCAAAATGGTGCCAGGAATAGACAGGAGGAATTGCTGTACAAATCTGATGGAAGTCCCAGGTTTTCAAGATGTAAAATCTTTTTTAAAAGAAATGAGAAATTGGGGATGACCCCTGCCAATTATAGAAACAACACCTGTAGCTTTAAGAAACGAATGCCCACTGACCTCTTGTTGGCTATTTTGGAGGTTACTTGGCTGTCACAACAATATTGCTGTGCCTTCTAAACCCTGGTTTCTGTAAAGTAAAGCCTGGCAGCTGGCATTGCACAACTCCAAAATATTCCAATTGCAAAATTATTTTTCTAAGCTCAGGGCAGCTCTTTTAAAAATTGCAATATAATATATAAGGAGAATACTTTTTTAAAAAAGCAAGCATACAAACCTTTCAGTGCACCTTAAGAGGCCCACTAAATTGGAACTTATAGATGAAAGCCAGCATTGCTTGTCTCAGTCATATCAATAGAACATAGGCATGGTTTACATATGAGAGATGTTCTATAAAATCACTTCAGGAATTTGGAAGGAGCAGACATGTTGATTCAGAGGATCTGCTTGTGTGAACTGAATTGATACCTGCAGAAGAGTGCTGTAATATTCATTCAGCTATCCTAATTCTTATGGCACTTTTTGAGTCTCTCTCTCTTTCTCAAGAGGGAACTAGGTTGGCTGTGTACACACCCATGTGAGAGCACTGGCTTGGGTCCACTGAAGTTCTTCTGTGGGTACAAGAGCTTCCACCCACAGATCATTCATGACTCTCTTAGTCATCCCTATGTCAGCCTGAATCACCTCCTGAAATCTTGTTTCTGGGGGAGAGGGAACCCCTAGGAACAGGATTTGGGGGCATGTTCTGGGCTGCTATGGGAGGGGAGAGTCTAGAAAGCCATGCCCAAACAGCAGAAATCCTAGTGCTTGTGGAAGAACTGGTGTTGTTCCAAGTCACTGGTTCATATAAAACTGCATGTCCACATTTCCATTTTTAAACCATAAGAAATTTCATAATGTTCAGGACCACTTTCTGATCTCCTAACCATGGAGCATGCTGTGGACTTGCATACTCCCTGTTCCCTGCCTTCCATGATTGGTTTTAACCATAGCATAGACACATTTTTTTTGAAATGGCACTAACCGTGGTTAATGTTAGCCAGAGGTGCTGTGGAACCTCTTCGTAATCATAGTTGGAAGTGATTTTGCAAACTCAGTTCTGATTAACATTAACTATGGCTAGTACCAGACACTACTTTTGAGACAGCACTAATCAGAGTTAATGTTAATTAAGACTGCTATGGAACCACTTTCCAAACTCTCTTCCAACTGTGATTACAAAGTCGATTTTGATTAACATTAACCATGGTAAGCAGCAGAGCAAATATAAATCTAGGGTGCAACCATACATCACTGGATACTGCACTGTCACTACATTGCAGCAATAATTCCTAATTGTCTGTACCAGAAAGCTGAGTTCTGAATGACTGCTATGGCACTATGATGTACAACATCCAGTGATATGGGGATGGAACCATAATGCTATAGCTCTGCTGAAGTAAGCTATGGGAGGGCAGCAAAATTTGCAAACGAGAGAGGAGAAAGGAGCAAATGAGGACATTAACTATGATTAATAGACCAGGATTATTACATTTACACTGATCCCAGACTTGTCTCATTACTGATTTTGAGTAGTCACTTCTGTCACATTTTAAATACAATTCAGCGAGTTAACAGCATGCCCATCCCTCCCCCCAAAACTGAAGATTCTCCATTATTTTTGGTGAGTGGATAAAATTCTAGAATGTATGGTGAGGCTGCAGATAAGTAAACCCCTGGAAGATAGCTTGCTGGTGATGCAGTTAGGCACGGTTGCTTCACTTTTTCTGTTCACTTGTGCAGGGAAGTCACAACGCAAGTGCTAACCAGGATGATGTTCCTTATGAGACACAGGACAGAGAGACCACTAATTGTGACACTTGATTATAATGCATGGTATACAGTGAAATAATTGTGTGCCACCAACTTGCAACCAACTCATGGTGACACCAGGGCCATGGGGTTTTCCAGGCAATATATGAAAAGAGATGGTTTGCCAGTGCCTTCCTCTGTATAGTAACCCCAGTCTTCCTTGGTGGTCTCCCATCCAAATACTAACCATGGCCAATCCTACATAGGTTTCACGCTCTGACAAGATAGCCCTAAACTGTGCTATTAGGCTGCATCAGTGAAATAATCCACAATAACACACAATCCCAAAACAGTCTGGTATGAAAAAATATACAGGTGTGTGCTTGATGACCACAGAACAATACAGTAACAAAAGAGACTAGATTAAAGCCATAACATCTTTTAGTGTCTGGTAAAGAAAAATAACCACTTATTCCGTCATAGAAAAAATACAAAGCTCAATAAAATTTCACATAGCAGTCTGCTCCAGACTCTCTCAGTCTATACCCTTCTAACAATCTTGTATTCTCAAAAGCAGTCTGGTCCAAATTCAACCTCTCTTTCAACACTTATTCCGGATATCTAAGTGTTTCAGACCTCTGGTCTTTCCTCAGGAACAAATCCTATATAGGAATCTCACATTCAATGTTACCTTCTCTGTTAATCTACTTGGGCAAGGTCTCCTCACTTATGTTCAAGCATGCTGCTTCCACCGCCAATGTCAAATGGACACAGACTATGCCTCACTTCTTGAGCACCTCCATTTGACTTTGGCGGCAGCAGCATGCTTGAAAATAAGTGAGGAGACCTTGCCCAAGTAGAGTAACAGAAAAGTAAATGACCAGACACTAAATGATGTTATGGCTTTAATCTAGTCTCTTTTGTTATTGTATTGTTCTGTGGGCAACTAGCACACATCTCTATATAAGAACATAAGAGATGCCAATGTTGGATCAGGCCAAAGGCCCATCCAGTCCAACACTCTGTATCACACAGTGGCCAGAAATACCAGTGCCATCAGGAGATCCACCAGTGGGGCCAGGACATTAGAAGCCCTCCCACTGTTGACCCCCCCAAGCCCCAAGATGACAGAGCATCACTTGCCCCAGAGTCCCTATCTATACCTTGTGGCTAATAGCCACTGATGGACCTCTGCTCCATATGCTTATCTAATTCCCTTTTGAAGCCATCCATGTTTGTAGCCGCCACCACTTCCTGTGACAGTGAATTCCAAGTGTTAATCACTCTTTGGGTGAAGAAGTACTTCCTTTTATCCGTTCTAACCTGATATCTTTTTATACCAGACTGCTTCAGTGAAATAGCCAGACACAGATATTGTGAACAGAAAGAAAAATACAGCTTCAAGTGCATGGGAGTGGGGGACTATAACCATTTTTTGTGCTTGTTTTGGCTTCAATATAACTTCTCACAAGGTGGAAATCTAATATATGAAGTAGGTATCAGTCATAACCACCTCTTATTATTGCCTCTTCCACCTATGATGGGCTAGTCAGTTCTTGTTCTGTGTCCTTGTACACAATTTTCCCATTCCATGTTGTGGTCTGCAGTTTCTTCAGCTTGAGCTCTAATGGACATCTAGTAACAATACCTATAAAGTTGAAAACAGGCAACATTTAAGTGTTGTAGGAAAAAATGAAAGAAAAATATTTCTTTGCTTTCTCCTCTGTAAAGGTAAAAGTAAAGGTTTCCCTTGCTCAAAAGTTAGTAGAATCCAACTCTAGGGGGTGGTGCTCATCTCTGTTTCCAAGCCGAAGAGCCAGCGCTGTCCGAAGAAATTTCTGTGGTCATGTGGCCAGCATGACTAAACACCGAGGCACATGGAATGTTGTTACCTTCCCACCAAAGTGGTACCTATTTATCTACTTGCAATTTCTTGCTTTTAAACTGCTAGGTTGGCAGGAGCTAGGGCCAGAGACGGGCGCTCACTCCGTCATGTGGCACACTCGGGTCTCGAACTGCCGAGCTACAGTCCTTCTAGTCTGCAGCTCAGTGTCTTAACCTCTGAGCCATCGTGGCCTCTTTGATTGGTACTCAAAGATGAAATATCCAAAGGAAATGTGGTTATATCTATGGAATACTCCACAACTTATAATGACTGAACAGTACTGCATTTTTTTGACTCATAGAAACATTAGACATTTCACAGATGAAAAGCTGAGAAGGAATTCTCACCATTGCCTCTAGGAAGAGCAACTCCAGACAATGCCTCAAGCACTGAGCTTTTCCCAGAGCTCTGGTCTCCAATCACAGCAATTGCTGGCAAGGCCAAGTCTTTTTCCACTCCAAAGGCCCTCAGAGAATCAATTAGGTCAATACATGGCCGAACCATCTCCTCATACTGGCTGCACAAAGTAATTACTTTTTTCTGGAAAACCAGAAGGAACAAAGTTAGGAGTCCAGTGGCACCTTTAAGACCAACAAAGTTTTATTCAAGGTGTGAGCTTTCGCGTGCATGCACACTTCATCAGACGATGAAATGGAATTACGTAACATAGTTGTATATATAGGAGTGGTTTGTGACAGGTATATCAAAAGAATGACAAGCTTAGTTCCTGGTTATCTTCTGTTTCAGTTCAACTGGGGGCAGGGACAACATAGGTAATAAATGTTAGAACTGGAGATTGATGTGCCCTAATTTGTGAGAATCCAGTCCTTAGACCCCCCATCCATCTCCTTTCAAGCATGGAGGTGAATTTTACAGCCAATATAGAGTGTTTTTCTTGTCCCTAAAACAAAGAACTGCATTTAAACCTACAATTCCAAATTATGGCCCCAGTCACACGGAACATTGGCCACGCTAGAGGGACGGAAGATAGGCGGAGTTTCCGGGCGCAATCTCACCGGCACATCTGGGAAGCGTTGGGCTTCCGTGGCGCAACCAAGGCTTCCCGCCGAAGACGCGCAGTAAAAAACTAGTACCTCGGAGGTACTAGTTTCCTGAAACCACGGGGCAAGGGCGGGCATCTGATCGCGTTTCCGGAGGTAGTTCCAGCGCCCACCCATGTCCCCTTGGAAAAAGGGTTTTTTTCAAAGTCTCCACGGATGCGCACACGCACACAAGGGAGCATGCGCATAATTGCGCTTTTTAAAAAAACAACCAACACGTTTGCCCTGCGCCCCGCTTCTTTGCCGCACCGCAGGACTGTGGAGTGATCGGCACCTCCCCCCTACCACGGGACCTCCACGGGACCTCGAAAGGTAGGTCTGCTCGAGCAACCGCACGGTTTTTAGCCCCGGGGCTAACAGCCACACCCCCCCCCCCGCAGTTTCCTGCCCATGTGACTGGAACCTATATTACATCTTGAATTTTATTCTTAATTGCTAAGCGTAGTAATAACATTTTGCTTCAATAAAACATGGAGTTAACAAGCTGTCATTAATCTAGAACCTCACAGGCCCATTCAACATTAGCAACCCCCCCCCAAAAAAACCCAACAATCAAAATAAAGACATTGGTTTGATGTTCATGCTGATTACTGGTTGCCTGGGGTGGTTCTGCATTGTGAAAACAGTTGATATAAAAAGACTCTGGATGAACTGAAACGTGCATATCCATCACAGTATGGATTGATTCATATGTTAAACTGTTTTACACCAGAGAGGGCATGTGAGTATGAAGTTCAAACTACACTTTACAATTTGTAATGTTTAGTGTTTGTGTTCTCCAACATGACTTTGACTGAAACAGTCAACATCAGTTGAGAGCAATCTCATTTCCCAAGTACATGGCCCCCAGTTTGGAACAGGACTGCTAAACTGGAAAAGGGGTTTCAGCCTTCTCCCACATACCCCTTTCCAGACCGGAAATGGCCCCGGGGGAGATGGGCTACACATGCATCATTCCAATAGGGCACTTAAGGTTGAAGAAATTGTACTGGGGGGGTTGAAAGCTATGCAGGAGCATTAACACCTGTCTCTCAACATCATGGTCCTGATCCAAATCAGGGCCCCACAAACTTGGGAGATGAGGTCCCTCACACCTGACTGTCTCAGTCAAAGTTGAGGGAACCCACATGATAACGGGTAGTTTGACCCTGAGCAAACAACTGAAAGTGCCCCAGTCAAACCACACAAAGGGAAAGGAATTAGGGCAAATGCAAGGCTAAGTGTACAGTACATGAATATTTCTACAGCAGGGCAAATACCAGTTCCCTTGAATTGTTTCAGACCTCCCCAGCTTTTTGAAAAGGCAATAGCAGCCACATGGGGCACCACCATATGAGGGCCATAGTGCAGGAACATGTGGTTTTACTGCCTCCCGCCTCCCTCTCATATTAATTTTCAGGGCTTCTGCTATTGGTGTCACTATTTATTTTACTATTTATTTAAAATGTTTAATATTCAAACAATGACTTATGCAGTTTATGCACACTGATTTAGCACATGTACATGGGCAACAGGAATGACCACACTGGTCCTGGAGCCTACCTACATGATTGCCTGAATATGAGTACTAAAGGTTTCCCTTGCTCAAAAGCCAGCAAAATCTGACTCTAGGGGGCAGCGCTCTTCTCCGTTTTCAAGCCAAAGAGCCAGCACTGTCCGAACACTTCTCCGTGGTCATGTGGCCGGCATGACTAAATGCCGAGGCACATGGAATGCTGTTACCTTCCCACCAAAGCAGTACCTATTTATCTACTTGCAATGTCTTGCTTTTGAACTGCTAGGTTAGCAAAAGTTGGGGCCAGAGACAGGAGCTCACTCCGTCACATGGCACTAGAGTCTCAAACTGCCGAGCTACAGACCTTCCAGTCTGCAGCTCAGCATCTTAACCTTTGAGCCACCGTGGTCCCTATTGAATATGAGTACTAGGGGTGTGCAAAAAAAATTCAGCCAAATTCAGATTTGGGCTTTTTGGCCCCAAAAGTATTTGGTATCCCCGAATATCAGCATCAGTATTGTGGTGGTATTCAGGTTAATATTCAGGAAACCTGAATATATCCAGTTCCATTATAACCCATAGGGACCGTTCCCATACGGTATAATGGAGAATCTCACTCCCTGAATCCTGCTGACTCAGGGAGTGAGGCTTTAGAACCCTCTTCTCCCCTCCCCTCCTGGAGTCAGGCTGCAGCTGCTGCGTGACTCCCCAGGGGAAGGGAAGGGTTCTAAAGTTTAAAACCCTTCCCTCCCGGGGTCACCATTTTAGCAATCCTCTTTCTTCACCCTTCCAAGCAAGGGGGAGAGAAAAAGATCGCTGAAATGGCTTGCTCCCCTTTAAATCTGACAGCTTGCATATTAATATCACAGCTTTACCTAAGATCATACCTGTCCCTATCAAATCCTGGGTCATGATATTAAGGACTATATAATTTAAAAATAATTTCATTTTAAAGAAGTATTTTTGTACATTTCCAAGTATACATTTTGGCAACTTCCAGTATAATTTTGGATGTGCTATATGCCAGTACCTGACTGCTGTTTTGCTTCCGTGGAGACCTGCCAATTTCCTTTACATTACTGATGGACATTTTGCTCTCTAGGCATCAAAATATTTTCCGACAATTGAAATCAGTATGTCAGTCCACAAGAAACCTAAAAAATATATATATCAAAGGTGTATTTGTGTTATTTCCATTTGCATGCTGTTTTCTGAGAGACACTGGGAGCAGTCTCTTTGGTTAGAGCAAGCCACTGCTG